GCTCTGTGCGGGATCTGTGAGCCGGACACGGCTCTGTGCGGGGACGGGCGGCAGCAGCCGGAGCCAGAGCTCCGTTTGCCGAGCAGCCGCGTCCTCTAGCTCCCTGACGGGGAGGGTGCCAGGGTGGCACTCACGGGGAAGGACCTTCACCCAGCCGTCCCCTCGCCCAGGGCACTCGGCCTGAGCCCAGCCCTTCCCTTGGGGACACTCAGCCCCCGAGCCGCACCGGCCGCCGCGGGGGGAGCGGAGGGGGCAGGGCCCGTCTCACACCACGCTGCAAAGAGTTAATCCCGGCTCTGTTGATATTTCCAGCGGCTCCCAAAGTCGGCTGAGACGGGGAGCGCCCGGATTGGCTGCGTACGGCCGGTAGTAATTAGTATCAGATATCAAACTTCTGTCTTTGCTAAGACCCTTTCCGATAGTCGCTGCTCCCCGCTAGACGATGACATCAGCCAGGACACCCAGCTGCTGGTAGTAAACTCCGGGCGGGAGGAGGCTCCCGCTGGCTCCACGTTAATTAGTTCAACACAGCACAAGGGGAGCAGTTGGTGTCTGTGGAGGGTCAGTGCTGGATGGGACCAAATCTTACAAAGCCACTTGCTGCTTCTTGCCAGCCGGCTGTAAAAGGACCCAAAGAGTCCAGGAGAGCTGGATGAATCCTGAGCACCAGCCACGGTCTGGTCGGCTTTTCCCTGTGGAGGAAGTTAATGGTTTAAGTGAGGGGCGTCTGGATCTGGTCCCTGAGTCACCATGACACTCCTGGGGTCTGAGCACTCTTTGCTGATTCGGAGCAAATTCAGATCAGGTAGGGAAAACCTTGAGATTTCTCTTAAACCTTCTCTCTCTGGGAAGCCGTAGCCACCGACTGTTTTGCATTAAATGTTCGGAAGCAGCACGCGAGCAAAGATTCGAGGGGTTGTAGAGCTGTCACGGCTTTGCTCTTACAGAGACTGTTCCACAAGTGGAGAGACGCATCTTCCTTCCTCTCTGTTGCTTTTTTTTCCTCCTGGTTTTTCATTGTCTTTGATTTATGTCTGTGTTTTTTTCTGGTAAAATTGCAGTTCCCAGTTCTCCTGCTCCGGCCCTGCTGCAAAAGATTTGGGCAGGAAGCCAAAAGGGCATCTGGGATAAACAAGGTGCCTGCCGCCATCCGTGTATTCCAGGTGCTCTGGCGGGTCCGTCTGTGACAGTCGTGGTGTGGCCGGGCCCGACACTGTCTCTGACAGGCAGGCAGCCGAGCTGGTTCCATTAGGTTGTGACTAATTGGAGAAAAATGAATTTGAAGAAATGCGTCATTTTTAGAAGTAAAAATAACAAATGGAACATGAAAAGTATTTAAAGTGACATCATCAGAGAAATAAAACCAGAGGCACACAATTGATTGCCACTTGCGGAGGGCTTGCAGTAAAACATGCCTCCGGCTCGTAAGCCCGGGGAAGCTCCGCTCAGGGGCTTCTCCGAGGACGCTCCCCGTGAGTGAAGGTGAGTGAAGGTGAACTATGGGACGGTCGCTTCTAGATCAGCCCCTCTGCTGGATGTTCATTCCTTTAGTCACTGGCTGTGTCTATAGTAAGTATGCTCTGTTTGGGAGTGGGTATCTTGACTTGTAGTTTTTTTCATAACATAACTGCAGTTTTAACAGAAATGTCAAAAAATGTTCTCGAGGTGCTTTCTCTGACCTTCCCAGAGGTGAAGATCTCCCTGGGAATATTATCTATGAGGATGTTCAGACAAATCAGCTGCATGTATGGGATGCTTTAAAACCGGACAGGGCAGTCACGTTGGAACATGCACCCGCTCTGGCATGTCACCCACGCCGTGTGTGTTTTTGCCTCCTTCTGCATTGTAGATAATGAAATTGGAGATTTATGATACTGACAGGAGATATGAGTGGTGTTATCAGGATCTCTTAGATAGCTGGGTGGTCAACTTAAACTTTGTTTTCTCAGCAAATACAAAGTTGGCAGTTGGTTGAAAACCCCAGAGTGTGTGTGCAAACACAACTGTCCTAGTCTGGCTCAATTATACAAAGCTTGGGTCCAGGTCTTTGGTGTGGTTTCCATATCCCTCTGATCTTACATTTCATTAGATTAAGTCATTCCTTAAATTTTGTTGGTATATTATGGTACACTGCTGTTCATTTGAAAAAAAATCTCTGTCTGTAACAATTCCTCCAGCATGTACAAAGCAACACTGCCACCTCCCTGAGGAGCGGAGGATGGGCTGTGCATTGTCCCTGCATTCTTTTCAGATGAACCAGGGTTGTTTTTAAGGCTCATTTCTGGTTTATTTGTAAGCTGGCTTTATTATGGAACCAACAGTGGGCTCTCTAAACATATTTTTCAAATGATTCTCCAGGAAAAGTAAACTTTGTGGGTCTTTGCGTCCATAAATTCTCGTGCCTTTCAGCATTTCTAGGACAGTCAATTTGTGGGGCATTCTTATTCATGACTTATTCCCACAACTGCCTATTTATTTTGTTGGAGTTGGGCTTGCCAGAATCCCAAATGCATGTCTGCACCTCGCTGTCCCCACGTCTGGAACCACTACAGGTGACATGGGACATGGCCACAGCACAACTCTGGGTGTCGCAGTGTGTGAGACAGGGGAGGAGAGCAGGATGCTGAGGAACACAAATAAGTCAATAATGCTGCTTTCAGTTTGTGTTGGATTTTTAATAACATGGGGAATAGAGATGAAAAAGGTAACATTTAATGAAATATCTTTTATGTTCAAAGTCTCTATGGGACAGAGTTTCCTCTGGTGTCCCTGCTCCGTGTGCAGGCTTTGTCAGCTGTAAAGCCCCAAGTATGGCAGGAGGTGCAGAGCTCTGATTTACCATCCTCCATTTCCTCGGAAGAGGGATGAAAGTCTCAAACAACCCGTCACCCTGCCCCACACCATCCTGCATGGCTCAAGGGCTGTCACACAGGGCAGCAGCAGTTTCAGGGAGCTGTGTAGCTTGCAAAGAGCTGGGAGGGATCGGTCCCCAAAATTCCAAGCCCCAAGGAGCCAGGCTTGACAATGCACCATCGCTTTGGTCTCGTGCAGGCAGGTGTGAGGCTGGTTCGGGAAGGATTAGCTGTGCTCCATGACTCATGATGAGTCTGAATCCCTTTTGAAGGATTCCAGGACAATATTAATGAGGGCTGAAATAAATCTTAGTAACTAAACTTTTGCTCTCTCTCCATGGCCTGCACATGCTGAGCAGCTGAAAGAGCTATGTGAGTGTGTTAAATGGTTCTAGAGGTACATTACTTGTTTCCTCATCCCAGAATCCCTTTAATCTCTGTGTCATGCATCAGGGAGAACGTGGAGCAAGGAGGTGGCAACTAGAAGGTGGTGGGATGTAGGTGTGGCTCGAGCGTTGTCTCTCTGGTCTCTCGCTTCCATCTGGCAGCATCAGTAGCAAGGAGAAGAAAGCTTGTCCAGGAGAGGCTGGTGTGGTGGTGGAAAAGCAGTGGCTTTTCACAGAGTGACCAGCAATCCTCCCTGGAGTCCCATGGTGGTTTCTCCTCTTCTGGTCTCGCCAGTGGTCCAAGTGAAGGACCAGCAAAGCTCTGCCATGTGGAGAAACAGCAGCTGCCCCAGTGCTGGGCACCAGGAACCACTCCAGAGGAGAGAGGTAAAAACACCTCCATGCTGCAGTCCTGCAGGGTCCCCTTCCCCTTCCTCGAGGATTTGTGTGCCTGTTAATTTTGTCTGTTTTGCCAAAGATAAATATTCTGATCTGAGGTCATCCTGACAAATTTTGCAGGAATGATGATTCTTCAAGTCTGCCATGGTATCCCATGTGCTCCAACTATCAATGGGATTGCACTAAATCAACTAGGGCATCCAAGTGCTGTTCCAGAAACACATTTAACTCTTTCCAGAGACAATAATGTATGTGATTTGCTTTAAATACAAACCAATTATTCTCCAGCAGCGGCATCAGACACAACAGACAAAACTGACAAATGCAAATCTAACCTTAACCCTTACGTTTTCTTACAGTGAGTGGTATGAAAAGAGCTTGCAAGGCCAATGTCTGCCTAACCTCAGTGGTAGTTTAGATAATTGGTGAGAAGCGAAAGTTTGACACCATAAATAAGGCTCTGTATGGCTTGGCATGGGGTGGACACATGGGGTGGGTTTGCAGAGAAGCCTTGCCTGGCTCTATCAGGGAAAGGATTCATTCTTACTCATAGGGCTTGAATGAAGCTGAGAGGGGAGAGGAATTCATTCTGTCTGCCTCTGGTGGCTAGAGTGATTTGGAACAAAATCAGCAGGTCAATAGAGGCAGAGAAGAGAGTAGGTCATGGTAGGGTGCTAGGCCAGGCATTTTGGCCAAACCTTTATTTTTATTTTCCTGGTGTCCAAAGATAAAACATGAGCTTGTGTTTCCTCTTGGATTGTGAACTCATGCAGGTCATGGTCAGTGTGTGTGTTCAAACCATGGCCTCATTGTAACTGATGAGACTGTTTTGTGAAGTTTTTGTAAAACATCGACTTTATGTAGATGGATTTGTGCTTGGTTTTGTTTTTCTGGCATCTTATACCTCAGTGTTTCAGTAGACAGTCACATGTTTCTCTGTCAAGTCAGGCGTGTGTTGTAGCACAGATTGAAACTACCTCACTGTGCTTCAGGGGACATCTGTCTGGGCTGCTCAGGGGGTGCTGGAGGGAAGACTCCAAGGTGAGAGCCTGTTCTCAGGACCATGGTGAGGTCAGAGTTGCACATCATGATGGAGAAAGCCCTCAGAGGGATTTCACAGCTGGTAGTGCCCATTTGGTGGTCTGGGCTCCTTGCTAGCTAGCTGTGGTCCTGTGTCTCTTCCAAGGCTCCTGAAGACCCAAACTTGGGGTTAGAAATGTAGTTCTGACTAATGTAGACAAGATTTTCAGGGCAATCCCCCAGATAACACACACATTTGTAGCACATCTGCCTGGGAGAAGGTAAAATGCTCCCACTTATGAAGTGACAGCACAGGAAGAGAGAAAGCAGCACCCACCTGGGAAAGGACAGACTGGGGCTTTCCATGGCTGAGCAGTGCCGTGTCCAGCTTCCTGAGGTTCATCTCTGCTCACATGGTCCCCATAGGGGCCATGTTGTCAGAGGGTAACATGGGCATGGAGATGTGATGCTACAGAGAAATCCCTTTGTGGCTGATGGCTGTCAGCAGAGCACAGAGCCATGGAGGGCTCAGGACAGAGCCTGGCCAAGGTGTTTTGCAAAACAGCAGCTCCCGACAAACAAGTGCTGTGGTGCTCTGCTGGTGTCAGCACCCAGGAGGTTGGCTGGCTTGTCACCCAGCTCGGAGTGACTCCACATTCACCCACATCAGGGATTTGATGCCAGCCTGCTGCCCAGCTGGAACAGAGCCCCCTGCTCCCAGCCCTGCCCATGGGACACCCTGCTGTGGATAGTGCTCCTGCTCCTGACACAGCTGCAGAGAGAGACAGACACAGCCCTGAGAGGGCCACAAGCAACATGACTGCACCCTGCCAGCATTCCAGCTCTGCTCCGGCCCTGTTGGGACCTTGGGACAGTCAAGGCACCCCGTGGGGCAGCTGCTGTCCCCCACTGTGCTCACACAATGCCTCAGACATTACATGTAAAGCCAGTCTCAGAGCCTGCAGCAGTCCTGCCTTTGGAGGGAAGCTTGGTCCAAAACAGGGCCAGGAACTGGACTCAATGATCCCTGTGAGTCCCTTCCAGCTCCAGATATTCTGATTCCAGGGCTGTTTTCTGCCATCCAGTGTGTGAGCAGGGGCAGGTCACCAGGTTCCTCTGGGAACACACCATGGCCATGGACAAACCCC